TGCAAAAAGTTTTGGATAAATTTATGCGTTGAGCTATTATAGTACTCATCTACTTTTTGTTTACTACCGAATTCCAATAATATCTGACTTTCATAATCGGCTTTACACTTTATGTAAAACGGGCTAGAGTTGTAAATTGTCTTTCGTTTCGCAGTTTCTTCATCCGATTTACATTTATAAAATCTATCCATGTCGACTTTAGGGTGACACTTTTCGTCTTTGCCATAATTTTCCACATCATTAAAACATTGAATCTGCTTTTGTAGCTTTTCATATTGTTGACATCTTTTTTCTGGACATTTAGTAATGAGAAAACTCCAGACATTCATAAATAATTCGTTTATTTCATCCAAATCATTAAAATTAAAGGCTTGGCAGAGAGCAATTTTGCAAATCTGTTTATTTGAAACTAATTCTACTGGAAAATATTTTTCCAAATCGTTAAACATACATTTTACTACATGAGAGGTACATAATTTTAATATTACTTTCTCACAGTCAAAGTTTGGATTCTTCTTTTTCAATATAATCCAATTAGCAGAATGTTGAAGGTACTGTATAACCGACATTCCATTACATGCTTCTATGATACTGCCGACAAGAGCCATTGAAAAATCTGTGGTGATAGTTCTGATTACTCTGTTCAGCTTATCAATACCACAATTAACTCGCATAAATCTTATTATTCTATATAAATTATTTGATAGATTTCCTAAGTGATGATCGTTTGTAAAGAAAGTAGCTATAGGAAAGACCGTCATAGCACTATCTGATTTTACATTTTTGTATCTTGTAATTATACTGTAATAATGAACATTAGGTCCTTTAATTACTTTTTTCCACTTGGTAGATGTTGCATCTATGAAAACATCAAGTGGACCCTCACGTTTTGCAACATCTCGTGTATGTAAAATCTGACATTTTTTCATTAGTATAATGTTAAATGGCTTCCTATCTAATTTGAAAATAAATGTTTCTTTTTGATGTGCCATCTCTACAAGTGAATCCCAACACTCTTTGCCTTCCCTGAGCTCATAACGAGCCTCTGTAGCAATTTGTCTTACAGCACTGTAAGATAAGCATTTTTGTAAATTTTTGTTAATTGTATAATTTGTACTTTTGCTAAGATCTGCATCTGCCTCTCGAATAAATTGACGAGGTCTAATGTGCAGTAGTTTATCTTTTGATTTTGCTCTAGACTGACCACGCAATTGGTTAGCCAAAGGCTCTGGATGATGGAAATTATCCATATCGTGTAAAACTTTGAAAACTATCTCACCTGATCCGGTTTTTGAGAACGTGGTGGTATAAATAAACCTTTTGCAACTTGGCTGCGAACAAACTCCATATATTTTTATTGTCCGACTTACTTTTTTTTTTGGCACATAATCATCCTTGCCTTTAAAATAAACTTCGCATGTTTGGTTTGGGCAGCGTAATACGTCATGATGACTTGCATAGTTAATCTTTTCGGACATTGTTTTGAAATTTCTTCTATTAAAATGGCTTTCATTATAATTGAAAAGTTTTTTATTTTGAGGGTTCATGTAGTCTTCTAGCTGTTTTCTGGACCAAACAAACGAAATTCCAGAGTCCCAAAACTCGGATAATTTGAAATTCATTTCCCTATTGTTTCTCGTTTCTACATCAGTGTTTGTCACCTTAGCTTCCTGACTAAATGAGGAGTCAAAATCACTGGGAACTAAATTTGGAAAAGCAGAAATAGTTGATTCTGTCTTATCGTTTGAATATGTTTCTATATCTTGTTCAACTGTTGCCATATTATCGCTAAAGTTTTGTTCAATAATTTTTTTCAATTCCTTTCGCTTTATATTTGGGTTTAATAATGGCAAAAACTTTTCCGTTCTATTTTTAATATAGTTAACCGTATGTGTAGCATTATGTAAAACGTATATCCCACAGTTGAAAGAATCAAACTGGCTATCACTTTGCAGTGTGCTCACATGCCATTCACAAGATAGAATCTTTTTCGCGATTGAATTACTTTCAGAATACTTTTTCATCGACGTTAAAAAAAGATTCAATTTACTACGAGCATGTTTTTGGTAATCAGGTAAGCTTTTTGAATCCATATAATACATTGTTTTGCTCTTTAAATCTAAAACTATTAAATAAAAATGCATATTTTCGTGGCATGGAATTAGTAAAATATCTTTGTTTAGCGAATCAAAAACGAGAGACTCGTCATACACACCACCTGGAGCTGACAAAAAAGCCTTGGACTCATAAATATTTAGCACCTTAATATTATCTGTTTGTGTAATTAAAATTTGTAGACAAACTTCCAGGCAACCACTAGTTAACATTTCTCCATGATTTAGTGAATTAATATCTTCGATCGTTAAATTTAGTGCCGGGAATTTAGAAGAGCTGAACAAAGTTACTCTTTCGTGGTTATTCAAAAATTCAATATTTTTGCACCCTACCGACATTGGATCCTTCGGACCTTTAATGGAACGTGAAGTTGAAGACCCTATGGATGTGTTTGTTGCCGTTTGTCCTGACCTAAGCAACATTGGATCTTCGACCGAAATGAAACAAGACTGAGCTGGATTCGGAATCACATAATCCGTTACTGGAAGCCCAATGTCTGAGGATAAACTAGTAACTGTCACTTTTTCCTGTGCAGTTTGACCTAATCTATTAAAAGTTTGATCCTGCACCCACAAGGAGAAACAAGAAGGCTGAACTGAACGTTCAACTGGCTTCGTAGCAACAGTTTCTGATACTGGAACGCGAATGATCATGGACAGAGGGGCAGCTGAAGACACTGTTGATGTGGTTGACGGTATTTGACACGATTCGATAGGATTAGAATGCTGCTCGATGGAACAAGGAAGCTGAACAGAATGTCCCAGAATCGGAGGTACTAACACCGGACCCCAATTGTCGGAGATAGAACCAACAACCGAAGAAACTGCGGTTTGCGTTGACCGAATCGATATTGGATCCTGTCTTAAAACGGCGGAACAAGGAGGATGAATTACAGGATCCGTTACTGGAAGCCAGATGTCTGAGGATGAACTAGTAACTGATGACACTGTACATTTTTCCTGTGTCAATCTATCCACATATTGATCCTGCACCCACGAGCAGGAAAAAGGCTGAACAGAACTTGTGTCTAGGCTCGCAGAAAAAGGTTCTGATACTGGAACTCGAATGTTCGTGAATGGACCAGCAGTCGAGGTGAAACAATTTGGATGCTGCATACATCCAACGGAACAAGGAGTCTGAACAGAATAACCCAGAATCGCAGATACCGGAACCCGAATGTCCGAGCTTGAACCATCAACCAAAGAAACTGCGGGTTTCGTTGATCGAATCGATTTTGGATCCTGTCCTAACTTGGCGGAATAAGAAGATTGAACCAAGTGTAACGGGTTTGAAAGTACAGGTCGTGATGCTAGAATACCGATTTTTGAGGATGAAACAGCAGCTGAATACACCGCTGTAGTATTTGTTACAGTTTGACCTGACCTGACGTATATTGGTCCCAGCGTATGCGTGGAGGACAAAGGAGGCCGAGCGGAATGAGTCAAATGATTCGAGATTACAGGCTCCGATACTGGAACCTGAATGCCTGAGAAAGAACCAACAGCTGAAGGACATGTCGATGCATCTGGTGCAGTCTGACTAAATTCGACGGTAGAACTCTGCATGGCAAAATGAGGCGGTTGAAAAAAGTTCATCACTGGGTATGGAATCATCGGGCCCCATACTGGAACCCAAAAACCCGGAAGCGAAACGGCAGATGAGTATACTGTTGGTGTGTTTGGAGTGAGTGAGTTTGGAAAAACAGGTGTTGGGGGAAAATAAGGAAGGTAGCCTGCGGGAGGGACCCATACCTGCACGGGAGAAATACATACCGGGATATACAGCGGATATGTTGCTAAATATCCTCCACTGTAAGGACTACTAAAATTCATTGTTATTACTTACGATTTGATTTAAATGTGATAATATCACTTGTAAAAATACCACTTTCTTCTTTCAAAATTGCACCACTTGATTTGCACACCGTATTAATTGTTGAATGAAAATGAATGGTTGAGCTGGAATGAAAACACAAGAATAAAAGCAGAGATGAAAGCATACAGCAGGGTAGCCAGAATCTTTTCTGAATTTTTTTAAATGTTTTATCGGTCGGTTGGTGAAAAAGAGAAAATCGATTAAGAGAATCGATCATCGCAGTTAGGCCCTTATGATTCTGAACACTAGACCTCGTTGGATATTCATAGGATGTGATATTGTATTCTATAAATCTATCTGGTCAGTAATACCAAAACTTGTTTATTTTAACAAGCACAAGAGGCTTTTAATTGTCAACATCAATTTAACTGAAAGCTATCGGTTGTACCAGGCTGCGTCTATAAGTGAGAGTTTTGGTTAGAGAAGCAAGAATATTGTGGCTCTCAGTAGAGCTGCAGCTTCGTAACACGCATTATTAATCAATCGTTTCTCCAACTTCGGTACGATCTTTACCTAGCTCAAGATATCTGCGGATAGCATCATGTAAGAAAACGTTGGTGTACTTCGTGTAATATATTTCTGGATTGAATTTGCGTATGACACACTAAAGGAAGTTGTACTGCGCGTCGATTTATTTGATGCGTACTGTGCGCAATCTTTAATTCCTGTTAAAAATGATACTACCAAAAATAAAAATACACATCCCGATAGGCATTTCTCGCACATAATTATTATAGTACACTTGAAAACCGAACCGACTTATCCGCGGGTGAAGCAATCGATAATGGAAATGCGTCTGGATCAAAAACTGGATCATATAGCTGTTTCGTCTTCGCTTAGGATCTGGCCACCCTGCTGTAGGCTCGATTTCATAAAAAAATCTAGTAGGAAAAAAGCTTGCAAAAGCTTTTAATGATTATCTTTTTCACAAACAGGTGGCGCTAAGTGCAGCTCGAAAAAAATTTCTTGCTCGACTTTTTTTTCCTGCTCGTTTAGCAGCAGTACCGCAGTGGCAGTTTTTTAGCGGTTTCAGATTTTGTTTTCGATTTGGTGCATTAAATTTGAAAGGTTTTGTGAGTGTTAATGTTAAATCTAACGTTAATTGCAACTTGACATAGTTCATCACAAATCCCGACGATGAGTGATCCGAGTGAAGATGTTATGTGAGTATTATTTTTGATAGAAATTCTTCCTCGGTACAAGGCCTCTGTTTACCTCAACATAACCTCTGATTGCAGCCAGTGGAAAAAGCTGTGGCAGCTTGTATCCGGAATTCACTACGAAACACCAAACGCCGTCGTTCAGGACCGGCTGTCGGATGTTTCGAAGCAATTAACCGATGGCATTTTGATGTATAAAAAAGCTGCCGGTGACAAGACCTCCGAAGAGCAGTTGAAGAAAGTAATGAAGGAACGCAACCAGCACAAGCTGCTTGCTTTTGCCACCAAGTTGTATCAGTATTTGGTGAGTTTGGGAGGAAAGATTAATAGTTTATTGGTTGATTAACTTGCAAGAAATTTATCTCGCAGGACATTGATGCTATACAATCGTGGAATATTCTCTGTTTCTACCTTGTCAACGAATATCGTGGACCAGCCAGTGCTTTGGCAGACTACATCTCAGCGGAAAGTTCAATGTTGACTCTACTGAGCGATATCTGGTCATTCTACAGCTTGGAAAGGATGGTACTCTTGAAAATTGTCAAAAATTTGCTGGAATTCTACAATTCCGGTAGTCATCCGTATTCCAAGGAGTACAAAACCATTATCGATAAAATTGGATTGGCACAACTCAGGACTGCATATATCAAACAGTTAGAGCATCTAATCAACGATAATATGCCTGGTAAGCTGATCCCGGGTGACATGTTCAACAATCATGCCAAGATGGTCTTGAGATCAGAACGGAAGTTGCGCGAAATGAATGAAATTTTGCACATAATTCTTATGATCATCCATTACGATGGGATTAGCGTGGATGAGTTTAGCCGTCTATTTAAACTGTTCAAAGGACACGCATTTGGCAGACAACAGCAGTATTTGGACAGCGCTAACGAGAGTCATAGTGATTTGGTGAAAAGAATTACATTCAGTGAACTAGCGATTGTGTGCGAGGCATTAGATCTTACCGAAAAACCTGACAAGATCGTCTGGGCAGAAGAAGTTATCAAAGCACTTGATAGTGAATTGTTTTCATTGCATCAGTTCCCGGAACATGGACCACTTTTGTTAGTGTGGATGCTTTTTAATTTTAGAATTCCAAGTCAGATGGAAGACGACGAATTGTCTACTCGGTATCGAAAGTTTGGTTCCAGAGCAATGCAGCTTGGTGTATTTGAGTATCTTCAAGCTTTGGTAACACATCGAACCTTCAAGGATCACAGTCTTGTTTGCCGTATCACGCGGAAAGCAATCTTCAATCAACTTGGGTTCCTTTGTCAACTTTTCGACACTGATGGATCCGTTGCTGATCTTGCGAAAGTCATCGACTTGCTCAGCGAACTGCTCCATAGTCCGTCTATTGCAACTGAATTTTGCAAAAATGAAGCAAATCCTGCGCGATCGTTATTCGATACATCATTGGAAAAATTCCCAGTGGACTTCAAACCCCTGGCAATGATTGCTCACGCTTTGGCTTCAGCAGGACCAAGCTCGTACAAGTATGTCCATGCGTTGCTGGAGCGTCTACCAGTTTACAGTGAAGTGTATGACCCCGACAAATACGAATTGCGTCCTTCGGGTTCAAGCGAGGACGAGTTTGTGCTTACGCACGATTATGTACCTTTTCGAAAAATTGGTTTCAAAGTTCCTCGAGGCACCAGTGCGGTAGTGCTTGACAAACGAACGCATACGATGGTGCACTTTCGGACAAAGTTGAATTTTTATGATGCTTTGCATCACGAAATCAACGAAATGCTGTCGGATGCGCTGGCCTACACTCAGCTCAATGACGAACGGATTCAACGGATTACTGCAGGTAAATTAGTATTAATATATTGGTTGATCTTTTACCAGCGTATAAATTCCTTCTACAGGTATACGCTACTTAGCTGTTGCTGTAAAACGTATCCATCAGCCACAAGAAATCAGCTCGGAAATGGTCCATCCAACAGAAATGGTCTTCGACATTCTGCTCAAATTCAAAGTGGTTCAAAATCCACCAATCGAATTGTTGGCTGAATGTTTAAATGTTTGCGCTGCGCTAGTACCGCTTTTTGAACAGGAAATATACGCCCGTGTCATCAATTTGAACATCCTACCCACGGTAAATAATGCCAATTTGGACTTCAAGGATTACGCCACCGGAACTAGCTTCGAGTCGAGTTTGATAGGATATTACCTGGTGAATTGCGAGAAAAATGTAGGAAAGTATCGTATTTTGATGGCATACTTCAACTTTTTGAAAACCTACACCAAATTGGGTAAGAGCAACATTTTTGCAGTAGAACTGCCCGGATTGATTTTCCTGTTGAGAGAAGTATTTCCGCTTGCTCACTCATGGCGGGTCGAGAACGAATTGGAACGACAGAAAGTTTATGTATTCATTTTGCAGTATATGTTTGAAATTCTTCAACTGAGTCCGGAAGCGCTGAAGAATGACTATCCCAGAACGGTGCTGCAAAATGTTTGCGTTTACAGTTTGCTTGATTTGGACAACGGACTCACTCTGCTGAAGTTTGTCGCCTTAGGCAATGGTTACTTGCAGTCGATAATGGAAAACGAAACCAGCTGGATGATGGCCCAAGAGCAAAGCATTAATCAGTTGGTACAGCTATCGATGACTATTCTGATGCAAATTTTGAGACTCAAGCGTACCGTAATTGATAATGAAAAACTGTTGACACCTTTGGAATCAGCCATTTATACCCAACCGAAGCAAAGAGATACCCTACGTATTATTCCGGTCGTGACGAGTTATATGAATAACATATTCAATAGAAGGCTGCCAATACTGTCTTGTAGATTATTGAGACGCTTCTCGCTCGAGTTTAAGATGTCTTTGCTTGCTTGTTTGGACATTGAACCGGATCAAATTCGATTAATTTTTCTTCAACGACTAAGAGATGATCTCGAGAGTGACAACCTGAAGATAGCAGTCTTGGAGTTCGTTGAAGCCTGCATTCATAAACAACCAGGTCTAACGGAAGCTTTCTTCAAAATACACTACGATAACGTAGATAACAGGCTCTTCTTAGGGGTGAAACCGGGTAAAAAGAAGAACATAAGCGATGGAATACCAACCTACATGGAGGAGTATCTGGAAGCGATCTCCAGCGATCCGAAGAAATTGGCTAGTCCTCTTTTGTCTCGGATGATGTCTTTGTTCCATGCTCTTTGGAAGAACAACATGCAGATTCTCTGTAAAGAACTGCTGGAAAAGAAAAGCTTTTGGCCTAGTTTGTGTAATCCACTGTTTGGGAATGTTAGTGAAAATATCAGAGCTTACAGTCAGTTGTTCAACATTCTCGGTATAGAACTGTTTAAAATTGACAGCCCGAGAAAAATTGATGAAGATCTCAAGAAAGTTTATGAGAAATTTCTCGACTATGATGTTTTCTCACGGTGGGTCCGTGCAGTGTTTGAACTTCCTAGAACCAGTAGCGATGCATGCGATGATAGCGTCTCTTTTACCTCGGCAATAATCGACGAAACTCCGGAATGGCTCAGTCGGTTGCAGTCCTTCAAAGATTTAGTAGTACTACTTCTAAAAAAAAAGGACACCGGTATATATCTTCCGGATCGCAGCAAACGATTCCTAGCGCATCAGTGCCTCAATGTGCTGCTGGAACGTGCGCAGTATACGGAGGATCTTCGCCCATTCGTGATTCTTGCAGAATTATACCTCATAGTACTTTCAGACTACGAACACAAATATACCGACGATTCCAAACAGGATGAAGATGTGTTGCACAAGATTCAAAGCTTGCTGAACGTTTTTGCCATTAATTACAATGAACTGCACTCAAGAGCAAAGGAATCCGTCCTGGCGATTGCTATTAAGGCAGTGGAACTCCAGTCTGATCAACTGATTGAAAATACGGTAATTATTTCGAGCATAACACGTTCTTCTGTGGATGTCGTGTGTCATGAAATTTACGATCTGGAATCATCCACGAAAGCTGAGATTAAATCATCCTCTGTTAAACCTACCAGCCGAGGGCAAATACCATTACTCTTGGCTCTGAACTTGTTGAAGAAATTAATACTCGTTTATGAAGAAAACGAAAATCCGGCTTCACGGTGGCAGTGCTGGTTTATTCGAAATAAAGTTTTTCTCCGGTTGATCAGTGTCACGAACGTTTTGTTGCCATTGTATTCCAAACGGAAGATAACCGAAGAAATTTTAGAGCTCCTCGTTGTGTTGGCCAAGAGTAGATGTTCGAGCGAAATGCTACACTGTGAGATAGGAGATTATCTTTGGCTGAAACTACTGCCACCGAAGGAACTATTACAAAAGAAGCCAAACACGATGGTAAATGTGAGTTAATTTTGAAACTATTCACGTATCTACATGATAGCAACGTAATTACATCCTCATTTTTAGGAAGGTGAAAACAAATGGAAGTCTCAAGATTGGTGGCCAATTTACACTCGAGGGATAGAATTGGTCCGAGTGCTGCTGGCCCAACACAAGTATCGTTTTCTGAAGGATGCGTTATTCTTTGCTGGAATTCACGAAGAATACCTCATAGATTCGCTGCTGTTGGCCAAACAGTCAATGGAAGACAAGGCAGTGGAGCTGATCAAAGGGACACTCGAATTGCTGGGTGAACTGGTATACTACGAGAGGGAATGGCGACTGGACCATGGACAAAGTTTGATCAATCTGATGGTAAGTTTTTCTATTTAAACATTTATCTGGTACTCTAAATCAAGACTTAAATTTGCTTTCTTCAGAGATGCGTGCAAGTCCTCATGGATCATAGCGTTGCCCTGCTCTATCGACCGAAAATTCTGAAACGACTTACGGAAGGACCTTCTGCAGAACTCTGCACCGATCAGGACGATCCGAATGCTGTCGATACTTCCGATGAACTCGTAACTGCTATGAACAATGTTATTGGGATTATCACTCTCAGTGCCAAGTGTCTCTTAAGGTTCAGCCCAAATCTGTTGAATCTGCTTTGTGATGTTGACTTCTACCCTGGTCGATGGTATCCACTAATAGAAATACAATTTGGAGTTCCGAAGATGAACGCAGATAATTACTCACAACTCAGTTTTGGAACTGTCCTAAGAGCCGTTTGCATGTTCACAAAAGTTTTGAATGTGGTAAGTTCCATTCTATGCTGTTGTCATTATTCAGAATCTAATGTTTCAACGCTTCCAATTTCAGCAACACTATTCGTTTCAAGATACTCCACTAAATCAACTTCCCGCCGGAGAAACAGACTGTGTCGATGCGATACCGTCCTTATCCAACGCATCATTGGCTCAGCTGAACAGATCTACCCTGGCTGCGAATAATGGTACAACTCGCCAGTCAAGCTCTCGTACTCCTTTCGCCAAGTCACTCTCGATGACATCGGTATCCAGTTTCACATCGACAAATGCTATCACACTTTCCAACGAGCTTCTTACACATCTCGATTCGAAGCTCTGCATAAGCGGTTTGGAATATGTCCTGACACTGCTAGCATCCCAAAGCTTGCTCGCACTAAAAGATACCAATCTATCGCAGCGTGAAAAACAGCTCATTAAACGAGAACTGAGCACAGAATTGTTGATTTTCCACGATTTTGTAAAGAAACGCATCCTGAAGGATTCGAAAGAAATCCTAACGCGCAAAAAGTATGGATCGGTGCCAATCTATAACGCGAATGACGAAGACGATGACAACACCGAAAACAGAGTAACAAATTCAGTGAAAACTGTGCCAGTAGCATTGCCGAAGAAACCCGATCGCAGTCAATCGATGCGAGTGAATGTAGTGCTGAAGCAACATCTACAACAAGCAGCCTCGTCACCGCTGAGTCCAATTGCTCATAGTTCACAGGTAGATCCCGCTCTGCATAAAGCTTCCTCGTCTACTCCGGCGATGCCTCGAGGCATTCTAAGACCACCCAATGCGGTATCCGTCAAGCGGGTAATGTTCGACGAAGGCCTGGAAAGTAATAAAACTTTTGCCTACGCAGGCCCCGAGGATGAACCTATCTTATACGAACCGGAGGAATGCAAGTATACAGGTTTGTCGCACGTGAGGATTGTCGAGGAAGATTATCTCCATCTGATGTCGAACTTGTTCTTTATCATAGCACAGAGTGAACATTAAAGCTAGAAGATCTACTATTGTTTAGAATGAAGGATGTAAGCTTTGATTAAAACTGTTGCCTAAATAAATGTAATGCATATGTTCAAACATTAATCTCTGCTTTATTTTAATTATTGTCATTGTTCCCCTATTGCGATGGACAAGTCCATTGGATGGTGGGCAGTTCATTTAACATTTCTTCATTTAAGAATTAACTCACTACGCGGCGCTAGTGTGTCATTTGCATTCTTCTTATTCTTCTTCTTGTTAGGCTTTAGTGGAATTACAGTTTATAGACCTGAAAATTTTCCACAAAATTAACATCAGTGTATCAATTTCCGCTCATTCAAGGCAATGTTAAAGTTAAAAAAAAAACATCACAGAAAAAGCCCAGAAATGTATTAAACAAATTTTGTTTTATATTTGTTTCATCATTTGTTAGGTTAGCGTAGCTTTTGTTCTGCAAAAAAACTATTTAAAAAATCGAGAAAAAAATTAATTAAAACTGAATTCAGTCACATGCCACGTCCGTGGCGTGTTGGAGGCAAAGGTCATCGAGAACGATTCATTGAAAAATGTGTAATAGGTTTGGACAGCCATCAATCTGGGTGATCGCACACTTTTTCTATTTCACACTCTATACATTCCACCTGATCGAGTCCGGGACAATGAACTAATCGATATTCACTGTCGGTCAGTTTTCACAGTTATCGAAAGTGCCACTCCAGTTGATGAAATATTCATTTTGGGTGACTTCAATCTGCCAGGCGTTTCGTGGAGTCCATCTCATAGCGGATTCCTGTATACAGATCCTGATAACTCTACATTTCACGCAGGAGCTAGTGGTCGTCTCGATAACTACAGTGCAGCGACGCTTTCTAAAATTAACCATGTAGGGGAAATAGCTCTAATGTGGGTCTATGGACCTAAGATTTGGCCCATCGCTAAAAATCTGCTTTTTATCAATTTTATCTAGATGAACGCGTCATTGGGACGGTACTAATGGATATTTTTGGTCGCAAGTGAAAATTTAGTCGATTGCTGAATTTATGTGTGGGCCCAAATTAGGAGCATTTAGGCCGACATTATATCCATTTCCCCTAGTTAACGAAAATAATCGTAGTTTGAACCTCTGCTTCGTGAGCACTCAGGACAGGGCTATTAATTTCCTCGGCTCATTGTGCACCTACTATTCGGGAGAATTATCAATTACGTCTCCTTACGTGCAGCCCTCATCATTCAAGGACCACCGAAATCATCTTAGCAACCAACAGTTCGATTTATTCACTTTAATAATGAGAAAGCGAAACGACGAACGAACACTTTTCACGGGTTTCTCTGCGCCGTTACTTGTCAAACGGCATCTCCATAGAAATCGGGTGACTTTAATAACATCGAAAAATATTTTGATCGGAAGGTGATTACGTCAAAAAGCAATTTGACTGGTAAATAAATTTAAAAATGGGATGTGATCCTATATTCGGACAGTATATAGTGTAATAGCAGGAGCATCGATTGACACTGATAGCTCGACTTTGTTTACCTTTGTTACTTTCGACGTAATGAAAATTTGCTCTTGATATGTTATGATGCAAATTTGAACTTGTTAGATACAAGAAGAGTGAGCGCTCACGAGTCGTAAAATCGCTGATTGTGACTATCTGCAAGCAATTTTGACAGGTTTTATGTGTCAAACACTTGCCTTTCAACTTCTTTTTGAATCCAACATGTACAAAATATCAGTATAGCATCTAATGATTCCAAAATTCTGAAAATATATTGCAAGTGAGCGAAAGATTTACGAAGTATCGCACGCTTCCTCTGGAACTTCATTATGTGAGGTTGAATCACTTGTACCAGTGAGTCAGTCGTGAATGCTTTTCGAGTTTCCAACGAGGCATCCAGTGCAAACTTAAGCTACACTCGAAATCCTTTTGGAACTACGTGAACGAGCAACGCAGGGAGTCCAGCCTCCCATCGTCTATGGAGTTCAACGGAGAAGTTGCTGCTAGCGCTCAGGATATATGCCGCCTTTTCCGACAAGTTGGTCAGTGTATTCACCAATGAGATATTATCTGACGACCATATTATGGGAGTCATATCATATGCATTGCATATAAATCATAACCAGCATTTTCATTCTAAGATAAATTTCATAAGAAATTCCAATATGCATTAATTATGTCACGCTAAATCGAGGAGAAATTTACCCCCCCCCCCTCGCACAGTGGCACGAATATGAATAAAGACGGTCAAAAATATTTTCTACCCTTTTTCTACGTTTTAGAGACGTGTATGGGTGTCTTGGGAGAAGTTGCTCAAAATTATATCCCGCATCTTTTAAATTACACACCCGAATAATCTTTAAGCTAGTATTATACATCCAAATTCTAGCTTTTTCCAGTTACGAGATAATGTTTCCATGTCTTGGACAAAATTGTAGAGCAGTTGATTTTATGAACATTTGCTAAAGACATCAAATTTCTACATCATAACTCTGTAGAGCTATAATAGATTTTCTTTTAAGACTACCTTAATATTGGTTTTTTGTGTTAATTAGTGCTATTTTCAAATTTGATCAATTTATCATGTTCTAAGAAATTGTTGGCATCATTAAAATATACAACTTTGCTGAATACACCAATGCTTTTCATTGAAATCAATGTGATATACAGCCCATCAAGCGTTTTTGTGACGTCATATTCAATGGCTCGAAAAGAGGGTGGGCGGGCCCTGGCGGGGTCTTAAACTGATTGTATTTTGAAGATTACCTTATAAAACAGTACTTCTGAAAATTTCAGCGTTGGGTACTGAGGGGTACCTAGCCAAATCTCGATTCGAAAATGTCAATATTATATACAGCCCATATACAGGGCCTCCCTTAGCTCAGTCGGTAAAGGCGCAGCTACAAAGCAAGACCATGCTGGAGGTGGCTGGGTTCAATTCCCGGTCCGGTCTAGGAATTTTTCGGGTTGGAAAATTTCTCGACTTCCCTGGGCATAGAAGTATGATTGGACTTGCCGCACAATTATACCAATGCAAAAATGGTACAGGCATCGAAAACTCTCAATTAATAACTGTGGAAGCACTAGAACACTAAGTTGAGAGCACGCAATAAGCTAATATGCGTATGCAATAAGCTTGAAATGCGAATAAGAAGAAGAAGATCGGACGGTTTTGTGACGCCATATTGAACGGCCCGAAAAGTTGGGAGGCGACCCCTGGCAGGGATTAAAACCGATTGAATTTCGAAGATTACATTATAAAATAGTGCTCCTGAAAAGTTCAGTGCTGGGTTTCCAGGGGTATCTAGTCAAATCTCGAGTCGAAATAGTCAATGTTATATGTACCCCATCATGCGTTTTTGTGACGTCATATTCAATGGCTCGAAAATAGGGTAGGCGGGCCCTGATGTAGTCGAAAACTGATTGTATTTGGAAGATCACCTTATAAAATAGTACTCCTGAAAATTTGAGCGTTGGGTACCGAGGGGTACCTAGTCAAATCTCGTTTATATATATTTAGTACAAGTTATAAACCAATGTGTGCTACGAGTGTGCTACTTACTCATGCTCATACTCATGCGTACTATCTACATAAAGGTAACTCTAAGACTAGTAGGTCCCGAAGAAACGTGCTCAACTTTTTGGCTCAGCTCTGGTACTCTCTTCGGTACCAAGCTAATCGATTCACCCCTCGAAACATAGGAAAATTCACTAACCCCTCATTTTATCTGTCAAACTTTCATAGCGAATCAAAACAAACATAGTGTAGTAGTAGAATTTCGACTAGAATAGGGTACGTTAATCGTTTACTTGGGACCAATAGGCTAGTCAAGTAGTGAGCCAATTTATAATCGTTAGTTTCGTATTGATTGTTGCTATCTATGCGTGCAGATGGATGACGGAACGTGGAGGAGGCAAATGAACCACGAATTGCACCAGCTGCTGGGAGAACCATCCATCGTCCACATTGCCAAAATTGGTGGGCTGGGCACGTCGTAAGAATGTCGCACGACGACCTAGTGAAAATGGTTCTAGAAAGCGACCCAACAAGAAAAAGAGGCGCGCAGCGGGCAAGATGGACAACAAGACCTTAGCCTGATTGGTAAGGTAAGTATCATCTCACCCGTGATGTGCTTCGTCGAAAGTATTCCTCCGGTTTTCGCCGGCAGGACTACCAACAATCAATACGAAACTAACGATTTTACATTGGCTCACTACTTGACTAGCCTATTGGTCCCAAGCAAACGATTAACGTACCCCATTCTAGTAGAAATTCTACTACTACACAATGTTTGTTTTGACTAGCTATGAAAGTTTGACAGATAAAATGAGGGGTTAGTGGATTTTCCTATGTTTCGAGGGGTGAATCGATTAGCTTGGGACCGAAGAGAGTATCAGAGCTGAGCCAAAAAGTTGAGCACGTTATTTCGGGACCTTCTAGTCTTAGAATTACCTCTATCTACCTTATTTAAATCGAACGAGTGCAAGTAAGAAGGAAACAGATTAGTGGGAAAACAAACCGTCCATTCATCCATGTGTGCTAGATAGAGAAAGACGATTAAAGGTGTATTCAAATCTTAGCGTGCATTAGCGAAGCGGAGCAAATTTTGCGTTGGAATGAGAGAGACAACTATTACTTCTCTCCCTCTCGTACCTTCGCAAAATCTTGCCCCGCGCGTGAAATATCGCTCAGGACGGAATTAACCTTAAACGTCAAAAAGGTCTAAAAATATTTTTTGTGCAGTTACCGTGTAAGCGTTCACTCAGAAAATTGTTCACTTAGATGTTACATGAAAACATACATAGATTTTTCCATCTAGTTTTTCACGTAAATTTTACGTTTTTCATACGTATATACACACTTAATCTAGCTCGATAAAATGTCCAACAGTCGATTACCTCGGCATTTACTTTTGCTGATATCTCTGCAAAATATCTGTTTGTTAGCTGATATCTCAGCAAAATGTTATTTGTTAGCTGAGTCTCGGCAATTGTTTTACTGAATCTCAGCAAAAATAATTGCAGAACTACTCGGCTGTTGGAATCTCGGCGAAAAAAAATAAGTGTGTATATCTACACCCTACATTATTCCGGTGTACGGCAGTGTAGCACCGGTGTAGCTACACTGCAAAAACGAAAACGATGTGGTACGTTTTTTCTGCTCAACCACACGGGCTTTCTATGCGCACTCACACTATCTTAACTGCAGGCAGAAGATGCCTTCTACCGCTTGGTGCGCTAGTGTTCGCCAATGAATAGTGGAGCCACTTTCTGAACCGAAGTTTCCCTTCTGTTTGTGCTCTCACCCAATGTGATGTATCATCACATTGCCTCTCACCCACGTGGAAAACTGTAGGCATGGATTTGCTCACATCATATCAGTAGAGAGAGATAGAGAGACAGAAAGAGCGCTCAGAGAGTAAAATGTTTTCGTGATTTACGGATTATCATTACTGTTTACGCTCCTACCAGAACCAGGAGGAGTAGAAACGTAAACAAAAGTGCGTACATTTATATCATAGACAAACATGCTGTTGAATCACCACATTTGTTTCGGTAGGGTATTTCGTTATCTAAATAAATAACTTCTATTCGCTTTATTTCTGCCGCGAACAAATGAACCACAACGGCAGTACAGTTTGAAACAATCGAGTGACTGGTGAACACGCGCGCTCACGCAGTAAACATCTCAAACTCAATCTCTCGCTCTCATGCCGAAAGCCGAAACGACATTGGTAAGGAAAATAGGGGAAAATATAGCACCAACGCAGTCACTCCGTAAACTACAAGGCAGTGGGCGTTTGGTATATCCTGGCAAGTGCGAAGTGCCATTCTTGACTTACATTGAAGTGTTCTTATCAGCCAGAGAGTAGTAGACACACGAGATTTTTATCTTCCTCCTTTCAACTCGTTATCCAATCATTTATCGAATTAAATTCCCGTAATTGAAGTAGTGATTTCATTCAGATTGAAGCAAAAATCGGTTAACAAATTACTATAGAGAAGTCAAGTCTGAAGCAGGAAAAAAAAATCGATTTTTACTATCGCAACTAGAACCCTCCGCGAAGTGCAGTAACATTTACCTCAGCTGATCTGCAGGATACGTCGTGTAAGAGTTTATTTTACCTAACACTTACCGTTGAAAATGCATCATCTTAGAAGCAGATGTACCACGTCGGTGCAATTTTTCGCACAAAACTATCAAACTGGTGTGCGAACTTCGGCGACGATAAATCAGTGCAACAATAATTACTCCACCCTCGCTATTGCCAATCGGAATCAATCTTATCATGCTCAGTGGGGAATGTTCCCACAGGAAAGGTATAATCAAGGACATTTGTGGGAAAATCTAACTACTGCGAATCTCTGCGATGGTCAACGTCGAAATATTCATGACTCTAGTGTGGTAAGTGTGAACTTTTCTCATAAAAAAATGTATCTGACTTTTATAGCTGTATCGTTCGAAATGCATGTGTTAACAAATTGAATCTATTTATTTAAGAAACTTGCTATCTCGAAAATATGTACATTTCACGTTAACGTAGTGGATACACCGCTTGTCAACTGGAATGCAGTACACACTTTAAACTGTTGTTCAGAGGCATCATATTGGAATGCCAATGCTTCCTCAAAGTTTAATTTTATTAGTAGAAACTCATATTCTAGAAATTTAAGCATTTGATCGGCATAGTACCATAGAGGTAACACTAAGACTAGAAGGTCCTGAAGAAACGTGCTCAACTTTTTGGCTCAGCTCTGATCCTAAGCTCAGCTCAGCTTCGGTCCTTAGCTAATCGATGCACCCCTCGAAACATAGGAAAATCCACGAACCCCTCATTTTATATGTCAAACTTTCATAGCGAATCAAAACAAACATAGTGTAGTACTAGAATTTCGACTAGAATGGGACCAATAGGATACTCAAGTAGTGAGCCAATTTTAAATCGTTAGTTTCCACCGGGGTTGTACGTGGGGAATTATGGTGTTTCATATTATTCTCTCAATTCTAGTGACCAGCGTTGATGATTAATATACGCGTATTTCCAGGCACATTAGAACTTTATTTGACCACGTCTATTCCAGTTTTGATTCTATTTGTTCAGTAACGAATAGTGGTTTGAAATAACCGATCATGAGAACTTAGTGACTGATGTATTAAGGAAAACCGATAATAACAGTGATTTAGTAAAATTGAAGTTCTGGAGGAAATACTAGGAATAGGTTGTTTCGAATCTTTCTGAAAAAGCGGGGATTTTCCATTCACGGTTGGTAATTTAGATGAGAGCTATTGTAACTAACACTTTGAACATGTGTACCAATCAATCAGTTGAGTTCTTTGAAAAACACGAACAGCTGGTAGAATCTGGATCTTGGTGAATAATACACAAAGTTTTGAAGATCAAGTAGTGATAATCATTGGAAATAGGGAAACAATCGTGCGTAATAAATATTCACAATCGATAAAGAAAACTCGTTGTGAATATCCCGCATAAACGCGAACCATAAATTGACCTTACCTAAAATGGTTAAAAATTGTTTATAATCCCTGCTAAACTTTAACTGAAATGGTTATGGAACTTTACATGAACGTTTAATGATAAAGTTTCAACCTTATGTATTATGGTTTTTTGGAACTGGACCTTACAAATAATGGGTTGTTAAGAACCATTACCGTTCCAAATTCTTGTTTTCTCCATACGTTTTCGGAAAGAGAACTATATTAGAACCTTTTAACTTATGGTTTGAGAACTTTAATGGTAATGGTTATGGTAGTCAGTAAGGTGCACGAATGGTTTTGTAACATCGATCAACTTTATGTGGAATTAACTGATTAATGATGTAATATATATGTAATTTACAATATATGATCAATTGTCAAGGTTCTTGACTTTTAATAAAGTTGAGGATCCAAGATATCGAAAAAAATAAATTGTTGACATGCAAAAATTTGCAAAATCTAGGGCAAGAGACAATTTTAAAAATTTTGAGAGTCTCCATGCTTCCAGACTTTAAAAAATCATCAGGATCTTTGGAAAGGGTAGAGGATTTGCAGATCTTGGGTTTTGTGTATAATAAATTTCATTGGAAGACTAAGAGTAATTCCAAAATTGTGAATTTTTGGAAATTGAATTTAGATACCGGACGTAATATTGGTTCCAAATGGATGTTTTTGTTGTTATTTTTAGACATTGAAAAGCTTTTGAAGATTCGATGCCATAAAATTTGCAGTAATCAAATAATCATGGGTTGAAAGTAAATTCAACATCATATCTACTCAGAACACCTGTTTTTTTAAAGTCATTATTCTTCAAACAAATTATCGATTGAAGATCTCAGTATATCAGATAATATACAATAAAGTAATTGTATTATGCAACTGCAACGTCAATTTATTTGGAATAATTAACAAGCATAATTGATTGCTCCAGCAAAAATGAAGTTGAAATGCCTTGAATGGTTTAACAACATAAAATGAAGAGTTTAGAGGAACATTGTTTTCAAACTATATTCAACTCAATTAATAAGCTGATGATGCTTATTTTTTCTTGAACAAACTTTTATTCAATGTTTAATATTTGTTGGGAATCTTCTTATTTAGCTTCTAGCATCAACTCAGACTCTTCAGTTCAATAAATTCCTGCGGACTCTGACTACAAATCCTCGACTTAGATGTATTCACTGATCTTTAAGATTTTAACATTAAAATGTAGTCTTTTAATATTTAAATCTTAAAGATCACTAAATGCATGAATAAATGAAAAATGTAGATTTGAATAATGAAAACTAATTGTACACCCTAGAGAAGCATCCCGTATTATATGCTAGTGATGATTTAAAATCAGATACAAATAATTTGGAGAAAGTTGTGAGTAGTTTTAGAAACCAATTCATTAATGTTCCAAAATTTCATGGGTTTCCAAAAAACTCAAACTGTGACGATTTTGCGCCACCCCTAAATCATGTCATTGAGCTTAAATTTTGCATATGGACTTTTTTCGAGACAATAAACATTTTGTTATGGTCGATTTTGGAAATTAGAGGTTCACTTTTTTCCATAAATTCATTGGAACCCTAATAAACATAGTGTCATAGGTTGTAGGACTCCTATCAGCCTTTCAGAATAGGATGTTATTATTGATCGGCTTCTTAGCTAAATAATCGATTCTATAATAAAAAGAAAACCTCAAAACGGATAGAATGAGATAGCTAATCAACTATAAGGCACTAATTTGATCTACTTATTTCCGAATCGAACGGGTGTACGCTTGAGTGTACGATTGCATGTGGGATTGATTTTGTTTTGAGAAACGGTCAACACGACGTACCTGTGTACGTTTCAACTAATGAATTTCACGCCAACTCGACAAATGGTCGGCAGCACACTCTCAGGTTTCAATACAACTTTGTGGATGTAAAGATTTCGTCTATTTAAGCAACTTTACATGGCTCTAATGTTGGCCTATGGATCGCTAAAATCTGCTATTTATCAATTTTATCTAGATAAACGCGTCATTGGGATGGTACTAATGGATATTTTTGGTCGCTTTTGAAAATTTAGTCGATTGCTGAATTTATGTATGGGCCCAAATCAGGCCTACATTACATCCATTTCCCTTACTTATTTTGTTAAAAAAGTCTTGAGCACAATTTGGTAAGGAAAGAACTTTTTTTTCAACTTTTCTAGAAAAAAAAAAATCCAAAAATGCTGCCAAAGAACGATTTGAAGAAAATTGTATGAGCTTTTATAAAAAAAAATATAGCATAAAAATATCTCTAGCTGAAAAAAACACGTTTTAAAATATAAAAAGATTGTTTAAGATGAGCATACTATCGTTTTTTTCAGTGTAGGAATGAGGAATTACAAGAGTCGTGCGATTCGTCAATCACTACCCCGAATTGGGCTCAACAAAATCTTAATGAAAGGTGGTACCACAGACAAACAGACGTAACTCTTCATTGTGTGTCTTCGTTCATGCATTTAACGGTTGATTTAGATATTACTTTGACGTTTCTATATATTCTATAGAAATTTTATGCAATATTGTTTACGAGTTAGCGAGCAAGCTTGTTTCCCGCGAGAAGCCAGATAGATGTCGTTACTGAGGTTATATGTTTTGAGATACTATGTTTTCAAGAACAAGTTTTTCAAAGAGTTACGTCTGTTTGTCTGTGGTGGTACCATTAACCGGAGGAAACTAACGATTTTAAATTGGCTCACTGCTTGACTAGCCTATTGGTCCCAAGCAAATCGATTAACGTACCCCATTCTAGTCGAAATTCTAGTACTAAACTATGTTTGTTTTGATTCGCTATGAAAGTTTGACAGATAAAATGAGGGGTTCGTGGATTCTCCTATGTTTCGAGGGGTGCATCGATTAGCTTGGAACCGAAGATAGTACCAGAGCTGAGCCAAAAAGTTGAGCACATTTCTTCGGAACCTTCTGGTCTTAGAGTTAACTCTATGGTCCCATAGAACGGTTTTGAATATTTTCGGAATGGGTCAACTGTTTTCGGAGAAGTAGCCGAAACATTTTCCGATGAATACGTATGTAAGTAATAAGAATCCACCACCAGTGCAGGACTTGCCATGACGCACGGTTCTTCATAATGGCAAGATAATTCGATGCATCCCTATAATCGTCCCCATTCCGTTGTATGAAGGGCCAGAAAGCAGAGACATTATACGAAATCCATGATACAGGGAATATGCAGCACGCAATACACATTAAGATTTCCAGATTTTCTGGTGGTTAAAACACTTTCCGATGAATCTGGATCACAAATCCAACTGTTTATTGAAAAAATGTAATTTTTATTTTTATTTTTTATGCAATGTTACATTATTCTTTATACATTCAATTTTTGATAAAAAATATTTAAAATATTGCTAGTTTTCAGTTACATCTTTTTGCAAAAAAAAGTTCTGCTTCTTTCAAACGGTGGTTCAAATTTTGTTCAAGGGAAATAAGTATGCAAAGTTGCTTAGTAAACAAAGTCTTTACAACCATTCAACGGAATCTTAGAAGGTGCTGATAACCCCATGAACACTTAAGGTCTGAGGTCAAGCTTCCAACGGTTTAATTCAAAATTGCCACGATTAACTGTTGAATAACCACGTGTTGCCTCTCTCAGAGAGTCTAAAAACATGTAGCGAGACGGCAGTGTAGCAGTAGAGGCAACAATAGCTGTAATTTCCAAACCTATCGACTAGATGCTTACGTCAGATGACGACTTGAGTGTGAAACAATCGATGAACTGTTTCCGCACATCGAAGATGCGTGATCAAATCGGTGATCATCTCTTTTGCAAGTGGTGGCGGGGGAGATACCTCTCACCATCCCTCCCCAATAGGGGAGTTTGATAAAGGAGATGATGAACCCGATTCAGGCCTTCCTCAAAATGTACCTATGCTCGCTTTCTACTCTCTATATACAATTTTCACACTGCTTTACTCTATCGGAACTATCATTTCTATATTTTCATCTCCTCATCAATCGTATACAATATTTGACGTTAAGCATCTTCAACTATGTAAATCGTTAACTTCATGCATGAAGTAATACTAACAAGATATTAACTTAAAGAACATTTCATGTTTTTTTTGCGATTTTAAAGCATTCTACTAGTCTAAATCATGGTCTACAGAACCCTTATAAAACCAAAGTTGTTACTTGTGAGTTGACTGGCAGCGGACGAAAAGCGAGGACGACCGACCCCGTGAACGCAAGAAAGGCGAGGGATTACTTCAAGCGCAATCCGAACCGTTCGATTCGGGACGTGGCTAAGAAGGTCAATTCTTCCGTCTGGTTCGTTCGGCAGACAATGAAGTGGGCCGGACTTCATGTCTTCAAGATAAGGAAGGCGCCTAACCGAACCGATAAACAGAATACGGTGGCCAAATCCCGCGCCAGTAAACTGTACCATGAGTGATTAGTACAGTCAAAATGCATCGTAATGGACGACGAGATGTACATTAAAGCGGACGCCAAACAGATCCCCAGCCTGGAGTTTTTCGTCGGCAAGTCGGAAGAAGGTCGACAAATTTACCAAGAAGTACTTAGTGTGGCAGGCGATCTGTGGGTGTGGCAAATTCAGCAAGCCGTACAAAACGACCGGTATAAAGAAGAATGCCTCATGAAGCGCCTGCTTTCCTTCCTCCGGTCCCACGAAGGTGACACTCTGTTTTGGCCGGATCTGGCATCGTGCCATTACTTGAAACCGGTGATGGAGTGGTACGACGCCAACGATGTTGTTTTTGTGCCGAAGGAAGCAAATCCGCCAAACTGGCCAGAACTTCGCCCAATAGAAAAAAAACTACAAGGGACAAACCAATGGGGTTGTACGCAATGATGACGTAGGACTACGTGGTATGATATAATAAATATTTTTGTTAATTGCAGCAGGAGCTTGTGTTTTGTGTAGGAATAGGAATTTTAGCGGGGTTCTCTCTGTTTATACTCTTTAGTATGACTATGATTGCCCTGAAAAGAACCTTTTTATATGAATTTTAGTTGGGACATGTTCAGAAAATTAACTCTTTTGGAAAATGTTGGTGGCCCTGAAAAGGGCCGATGGTAGTACAGGTTTAAAGCCTTTGGAAGATGATGATGACGTGTAGGCAGCTGCGTATTAAGTGACGGCATCACGGATCACATTTTCTCGGCACACCTTCAGCACACCTCGGGTTTCCTCGTACGTCAGACCGGAGATGAGCTTGACACCACCACGTCGAGCCAGACGACGAATGGCAGGCCCTGGATGTTATCACACGATGACACCGATACCGATGTTTACCGTAACCATTGAGAAGTGATAAAATATGGTACCGGCAGAGCTGGTTTTCTATATAACAGGTAGCTAACTGCGCGTTCGCATTAGTTGCGATGCACCCGTTCAACGGCAAACAACGGGGAAACCCGAGGCAAATGTACGAGGAAACCCGAGGTGTGCTGAAGGTGTGCCGAGAAAATGTGATCCGTGATGCCGTCACTGAACACGCCAAGAGCAGACAGTCCTGGCCATGGATGTCGTCTACGCATCATTATCACCAACAACCAAGTAACAAAACGGCCCTTTTCAGGGCCACCAAGTTCATTTAAGAAAAGAGTTAGAGTAGAATTTTTAAAGTACTACAAAAATTGTTTTTACCATTAAGTCGAGGCTATTTTTTCTCATTGATGGCGCTGTTCCATTGATAGTAAGTTAGAAATTTGGAAAAGTGGATGGAACGCTTTGGATGCATATTATGGTCAAAATAAGTCAAAAGAAATCATTCATTATCGTCCAGTTTTTATCGAGAAATTTTTGAAAAATAGTATTTTCTTGCAGGCTTTCTTGTTAAAAGGGAGGGAATTTTTATGTATTTTTTATGCAGAATATGCAAAATGGGAGGGACTTTAAATGTTATTCCTCCCTCGCCCACCAAATGTTACAGAGTGTCATCAAAATACAAGGAATGTTGAGATATTGAGATCGTGAGAGTGAATTTTCTCTTTCAAATTTGAATGTTTTGGCTCTCTGGGGATTGGTAGTAAAGCGGTTAAAAATGTATGGGAAAAAAACCTTTTTTATTTAATTCTACCTTATTTAAAAAACAAAATCCTGGAAAAAAAAAACTGAACGACAAAGTCCATAAACGATTTCTTTAGGTTGTCGTCACTTTTTTTTGGAAAGCTATGTGAAATTCACATGGATTTCATGCATTACATATGTGATATATTTTTTGAGTGTATCCCCTGTTTCCAAGTTTGGTAACAAGATTACAATTCTGGAGAGCATTTTGTGTGGTCGTTGGGAGCGTGTGGTTCTGAATATGGCGATGAGTGTGCAAAATATTACGCAATTCCATCCTCCCTATTCGCACGCGCCCGAGGATTGGAGGCGAATGCCACTTCGACTTGTTTCGTCTACTTACTACTCTCTGACGACTGTGCTGGGGAAGCAGCATATGCATGTAGGTAATTGGTGGATTTGTTAGTTAATTCGACGCTTTTGGACAATGCTGGACATTTACCAGTTTTTCAATAGTTTCTTTTTGAAAATCAACATTTGGAAGCACTGTTATCGATGCGTAGCCATATTTCTGATCGATTGGTGATAAAATTATTGAAATTGGACCAGGGACAGCTGAGTTATTAACGTTCAAAATCTTTCTTAATTTGTTACATGTTCCATTTTCGGTTTTCACAAAGTGTACCCCCATATAGAAATCAAAGACGTAGTCCTACGTCAAAATTCCAGCTCCGGAAGACAGGGAAGGTCTTCAAAAACGACAAGGGTTTGAAGAAAGTGTGGAAGAAACTGTGCAAGAAAGATGGCGTAAGTGTTGCAAAGAATTTTATGGGTAGCGTTAAGTCCAAGGTGCGGGCATTTAGCCTAGGAGAGGAGGTTGAATAAACCAACTTTGCAAAAACATAGCTAATATGTGTTTATTTATTCCCTGAGAGTTTCGAAAATATCCGACCTAAAATGAAATTTTGGGGATCATTTTTGTTTGTTGCATTTTTTTTTCGACTACAGTCTTTAATGAATCAATGCTACTAGAAGTAAAATATTTTGCCACGTGACAAAACGCTGCCTAAAAATAGTTTTTTTTTCATTAATATAATTTTTTTGATATTAATTAACGTGAATATAAATATATTGATATTACTCGGATGATTTAAAACTTGTTTTATAAGCTTTGTGTAACATAAACCTCAATTTAAAATAATAACAGCACAGCAAATTTAAAAAAAAAGTCGAAAAGTCGTGCTAAAGAACTCTTGAAATGGGTCGATACCAAAGATGAATGGTTATACTTCTGTTATACCGAATTAAGAAGATTTTCTATAACATGCATATCTATGCATGCATTTTTTCCGTTTCAGATTCAAGTATCTGTTTTACCAAATAAAATCTACAGCAAACGAGCGGCATTTTACAAAGATTATGCTAACCAAGGCGCCATCATACCTGAGTGAGTATTATTCATAAGATTAGTATTTATAAGATTAGCACGTGCTATTTAATAGGAAAAAAATGCGTCCAAGCGTGTTACATGAATCACCTAAAAGGTGTGATAACTAATTTTGAAATTCATTGCCTTGCGTGTCGTGTAAACTGACTACACATGATCAGCGATTCCTGCGGGCCTATCAGCCACGTTTGACTGATTCTTCAATATTATGCGACCAACTTACTACTAATGCGACCGGAAAATGTTATGTAAGCAAACGCTTTCGGATAACTCTTATCTTATCGCTACTATGAATTAGCTACAATAAACAGATATCTTTTGGATATTCGCGCTTATCGCCGATTCATCTAGAATGTATCACGAGACGTTATTCATGTGTATACATGCCTATGACGTGTTTTTACGACATTCACTTGAGACATGATTTAGTGGAAGGTACATTCTAAAATTAAAATCATATCTTCTGTTTCTCAAATAGATTGCATGATCATCGTCGGGTGCTCTGTAGGATGGATTAAGAATTTTGTAAACAACTTTATCCATCAACACTTTATCAAAAGAATCGAAATGAAATTAAGCATTATACTATCCATTAGCGCATGTTTGACGTTTTTGACGTGGAGAGGTGGGTGGTTTGCAAATTTCCAATAAACTTTTTCTCACATCTTTGTTGCGTTGACGATTGAACATATTGATATCCATATACGTCAGATCAACATGTATAATGTTAATTAGTTTTCCAAACATTGCTGTTACTAGATAGCGATCGATCGGATCTTCTATATAAAATCATATCTCCAAGAGCCCGGATGGTCCAGTTCGTTTGGATTCAGTAACGGATACTAATCGGTGTTAAAAGTTACAATGAAGAACGAAAGCGTCGGAGCGATAGAAAACGATGAGCATTTGAATCACGAAGATAGTGAACAGATCAATGGCGTTCATCCGAAGCAACGTGAAGCATTCGTGAAGTTGCTGGCCAATTTCATAAGGTAGTGAAGTTGACAATTTTACACGCTCTGAACCAATGCGTGTGAAAACGTGTGTACTGAGATAAGGAGAAGCTATGTTTTACATGTTTCGAAAACCTTCTCTGCTGACGAAGCAAGTAGTTTTCAATCAAAATGTTCGTTGTATATAATCAAAGCTCATTCAATCAACAACAGATATGGTTGAGCAATAATGAACGGGCAGTGAAAGCAGTGACCTACAGTGAGATGAAGTAGATAGTTATATCAAATCACAAATTTGTTGATTACAACAATTTTCTATCTGGTATACACGGCCATTCAATCTTACCAAGTGACTGAGTTAATTTGTATTATTATCTCTTTGTCTCTCACGGAAATATTACTCAGTTTTCAAAAAAACTGGGGCTTCTCAGGCTGTGTTCCATTTGCAAAATTTTCACTTAAATTTGACACTTCGAAAATAAATTAAGATGTTCGAAAATCCCTCTGTTGTTGATCGGCCGATTTTCGAGGAAGCGTCTGTCAAAGTTGATTCCTTGTCTGTCAGAAATAAGTCTGCTGGAATAGCAGGTTTATTTGGAAATTTTCCATCTGTCAAATTTAAGTGAAAATTCACCAAATGGAACACAGCCTCAGAGCTATAAAATCAGAGTAATACATAATTCTTTGAAAAGAAAATTTCCCCAAGCTTTGCTATGCAAAAAATTCTATGTGTTTGACAGGAAGCGGACGTAGTGTTTACAGTTTACGGATTTCACTAAATGTTCCAATGATAGTGTGATCAGAATGAATTTGGTGGTTCTTAGTCAGTCCAACCGTAGAGAGTTTTTAACGAGTTGATTGATGAATTACGATTAATATGAGTCAAAGGAATGTGGAATTTTAGAATCTTAGAATCATGGTGTCGTAGCAGTGAATACGGTGTACTCAACTACTACTGTATTACGATGGATTAAAATATGGTAACTCCCATAAAATAGTTTCTACTTGACGATAGCCATAAATTTTGTGATTGGGCGTATTGTTTGAGGACAATTGGGTGGGTTGATGTGTTTGATCACTTTGTTGCCTTGGAACCATAGAACCAACCAGGTATAGTGACCGCTGGTAAAATCTGACCTGATCTTCCCTGGATTGATAAAACGGTAGAATCCATTCCTGAAGGCATTATTTTTGGTACCGTAAAACGCTTCCCCCTGGTCACTTTATACCGATAAATCTGAATATTTTTCCAACAATATGTTTGGCACACAAACAAATACCCTCAAACCTTTACTCGCTGAAGAAAAATCTGGCGTTTAAATAAAAAAAAGTTGTTGTTTTCGAAAAAAAAAACTGGATATTCTGTAGCAAAATAGTTAAAAATACGCCTAAATGTAGGAAATTAACATAAGTTTTACACATAAAATCATTTGTATGCTAGGTAATCGGTCATTTTAACAAAATCTGATTTCAGATTCGGATTTAGCGACCCAAAGTTGAGTAAAATAAGTAATTTCACCGAACACAGCACCAGAATAAATGCTGATTCTGATAGGATGTTTAGGAACATATTTTATCACTTGCAGAAAATTGGACATTTAGAGAGTGCATCGTTTGTTAGGGGGAACGTTGCAAAAGTAATATTTTAAACTATTTAATGAAATACTAAACAAATTATCTTACAACAATATCATGAAAAAAGATTGTTGAAAACGACAATTGAACTCCATCTCAATGATCAACTTCATCACGTTTTACGGTTCTGTTAAATCTGATAAGTTACAATAACTTTTATTTTTCTCCAAGAACTGTGAATACCTCCCAAAATCATGATATAGAACAAAAATCTGATTTAGAAAGTGACATATTTTACTTTATTGATCACTCTCACTCACTTTAAATCACATTTGGCTTTTTAATTTTGGGTTTTAAACAAACATACTACCAGTACCGAAATGTCCGGTAAACAACCATAGTTAAAATTTTGGGAGAATAAGAATCCGATTTGAGACCGTTTGAGTCTGTGGAGCGAAAATCTGTCACGGAAGGTCATGGATACAAAATACTAAGTGGAATTATATGGAAAAAATCACTTGTACTTATGTGTATTCTATTAACAACCCACTTCATAACATTTAGTTTTTCGAGTCTTAGTTGAGGCGAGTGTCTTGTCTAATAATTCGCGAAGAGAGGGTTGGCTCTTCTTCCCAATAATACAAAGGTAGATTTTTCACGGAATTCGCTGATTTTTTTAGTTCAAAATACCATTAATACCATCTAATGGTTTCATAATTTCCAAAAACATTTTTTGTTCTATGTCAGTTTCTAATTTAATAATATCTCTGATTCGGTTTAGATTAATCTCCCAGCTATACAAATATGTAGCTTTATTTGGTTTTGTTATTATATTTTTAGTACGAGAAGCTCAATAATTATTGATCGTTACCAATTATTTTTGTCTATTTAAAAACCAAGCTTTCAATGTAGGAGACATTTGTCAATGGTCTTGATGTGAGTATTTTGCGCAGGTCCACCTTGTCTCCTTCACAATTATGTTGAGCTTTTTATAATTTCTATTTATCCATAAGAGATCATTTAACTACTGTCCCATCTCAGTAACGCGTATGTTTACCTCCTTTCAGACAACGGGATTCTGATAAGAAGCATGCAGAGGATTTACTCTTTGACATGTTCAAAAATGAAACCACTGGTCTGCTCAACATCGGAAAGTTCCTGGCGGTATGCTTTTGCTTTTATTATTAATCTGTAACCAAAACCACAAACTAATCCATTTCTAACCATCCACAGGCTCTCCGTACAACAGGTATCCGTAGAAACGATCCACGCATCAGTGAGATGATGGAGAACCTAAAGAAAGTACACAAGCTGAACAACTATGACGGTGGATCCCCATTGACGCAAAATCTCAACGCAGAAACATTCAAGGCGGTAGTCGCTCCGAACATTGTACTAATTGCACGTGCTTTCCGGCATCAGTTCGTCATTCCCGACTTTCAGGGTTTTACAAAAGATATTGAAGAAATCTATTGGAAATGTAAGAGCAATACCGATGGAAAGGTAGCCAGCTACATACCTCAATTGGCACGAGTAAATCCAGATTTCTGGGGTGTGAGCGTATGTACAATTGACGGTCAACGGTTCTCGATTGGAGATTCTAACGTTCCATTCACATTACAAAGTTGTAGCAAACCTTTAACGTATGCTATTGCACTCGAAAAGCTAGGATCGGATGTAGTTCATCAGTACGTTGGACAGGAGCCGAGTGGTCGGAATTTCAACGAATTAGTTTTAGATTACAATAAGAAACCTCACAATCCCATGATCAATGCTGGATCCATTCTTACCTGTTCGCTGTTGAAAACATTAGTGCATCCAGAGATGACACTCGCAGAGAAGTTTGACTATACCCAGAATTGGTTTAGTCGAATGGCTGGTAACGAACCGCTAGGATTCAACAATGCAGTATTCCTATCCGAAAGAGAAGCGGCAGACCGTAATTATGCACTTGGTTTCTATATGCGTGAGCATAAGTGCTATCCGGATAAAACTAACCTGCGAGAATGTATGGATTTCTATTTCCAATGCTGCTCAATGGAAGCCACTTGTGAATCACTTTCAATCATGGGTGCGACCCTAGCTAATGGTGGTATATGTCCACTAACGGAGGAAAAAGTACTCCAGTCGGAGAATGTGCGGGATGTCCTATCTCTGATGCATTCCTGTGGAATGTATGATTTTTCTGGACAATTTGCATTCAAGGTCGGTCTTCCTGCGAAATCCGGTGTGTGTGGAGGTGTTATGCTAGTCATCCCAAATGTCATGGGAATCTTTATGTGGTCGCCACCATTGGATCCACTCGGAAATAGCTGTCGAGGAGTCCAGTTCTGCGAGGAGTTAGTGAACATCTTCAACTTTCATTTGTATGACAATTTGAAACATGGTTCAAATAAGAAGGATCCTCGTCGTCATCGTTATGAAACCAAAGGTTTATCCGTCGTTAATCTGCTGTTTTCTGCGGCTAGTGGAGATGTGACAGCACTCAGAAGGCACAAGCTTTCGGGAATGGATATTACATTGTCGGATTATGATGGTCGAACAGCGCTTCACTTGGCGTGTTCCGAAGGACATTTGGAATGCGTTAAATTCCTAATTGAGCATTGCGGTGTTTCACATAATGTTAAGGATCGCTGGGGAAACAGTCCATTGGATGAAGCTGAAACATTTGGCCACATAGAAGTATCAGAGTATTTGAAAGAGTGGGACGAAAAGGTAGAGCTGGCGAAGAAGATGGGAAATGAAACAGGATACAGTTCTGATCAGGATAGCGTGAAAAGTGAACTTTCTACTTCGAGTGAAGCAATTGATAACAATCCTACAGATATCTTGAAATAAATCGTCATCGTTCGCTATTCAGATAAATGTACCTAATAAAATAAGTTACTGCTAAGGGTAATTGTAATTGTTCTCATTGTTGAATAACTTTAACTGTTATTTTGAGAGAATTAAGTTCCAAATAGGAACATCAATAATTATGGACTATCATGTCGACAATAATTCAATTGCAACTCTGTAGCTTATTTTAGAGCATATATTTATAGCTTAATTCAATTTCAAATGTCTCTTGTTTTTATTATGGCTAGGTTTAGTGAAAAAAATGTGTTAATTTTTTTTTATAAAAATTGATCTATAGAAATGCAAGTGATAAAATACTTAACGAATGGAATACCGAGACAATAATATACAAATATTAAGCACAAAATTGTTACCATTACAATACATATTGATGTATCTACTTATAATTTGGCAAGTGTCAATTATTATGATCTAAGACAAATATATCGCTCCTGTCAAATTTCACATTTTCCCATTTTTTCGGCTAAAAGCATACAAAATCCAAATAATGTCATTTTCGAAGGCCGTACATTAATCTAGCGGTGGACTGACAAAACATTGAGTTCAGGCATACAATATGTATTAGAAATCAAAAGCAAAGTGAAAATTTCGGCGATTTTTATGTTGAGTTGGGACAGTTTTGCATGAACTCGACAATATTGTGATTGTTATGTATATTCAATGTAATTGTCAAACACTGTGCAAAATCAAAAATAAATTAATTTGAAAACAGAATCACATCACATCACATATTATATCACGCCCTATTATGTCATGGACATAATTGATGAATTCAATTGTTCTACAGCTATGCTGCTTGACCTGTCTTGCTTAGAAGATTTTAGATATGTCAAACGTCTGGCTGACATCGAATCGATTTGGCTTGACGTCTGGCTGACGTCGAATCGATTTGGCTTGATGTCAGTTGTCAGACAGAGGTTTTTTTCTTCCTTGATTTGTTTTTCGACGATCTTGTTTTTCTTACTGAGTACCATTGCTGCAACTACCGCGCGATCACACTGCTGAGCGCCGCCTACAAGGTACTCTCCCAAATTCTATGCCGCCGCACGGACCAAATTTTCGCGATTCGGCAGGTTCTGCAGAAATGCCGCGAATACAACGTACCCACACATCATTTGTTCATCGATTTCAAATCCGCATACGACACAATCGATGGAGATCAGCTATGGCAGATTATGCACGAGTACGGATTTCTGGATAAGCTGACGCGATTCGTCAAGGCGACGATAGATCGAGTGATGTGCGTTGTTCAAGTATCGGGGACACTCTTGAGTCCCTTTGAATCTCGAAGGGGGTTACTGCAAGGTGATGGACTTTCGTGTCTGCTATTCAACATCGCGTGTGATCAGAAGAGCTGGGATAGACACGAGTGGCACGACCTTCAGGAAGTCCATCCAGCTTCTTGGCTTCGCCGATGACATTGACATCATGGCACGAAACTTTGAGACGATGGCGGAAACATACATCATACTGAAGGCTGAAGCTAGGCGGATTGGACTTGCCATCAACGCATCAAAGACAAAATACATGAAAGGAAGAGGTTCTAGGGAAAACAATGTTAGCCTCCCACCCCGAGTTCAGATTGTTATTTATTAATTTATTTGATAAGGCTCAACCGAATTAACTTTACAGAGCCGAGGATTCTTGGTCACTATAGAATACATATTAAAACTATAGTCAAAAGGTACAACACCTTAAACACTTTATCTTCTGCTATCCAAAAAGCTTCCTCCTTCAGAACGGGAGCCGCTTCCATTGGTTTCATTTTACGGCAGTATTGCCAACAACCCAGACAACCAGAATGCAAGTATATTCAAAGTTGTTTTCGTGATATACAAATAAACAAGTCGTATACAATGCAAAGAAATGGCTTATGTGATGTGATGATGTGAATAGAACCCACCATCAGTGCAATGATTACCTATGACTGCAGATACTTCACTGGTTGTAAAGTTCTGCCTCATGGTTTGTTGCAGCAGGGTGAATCAACTTCATTGAAGACCTTTGGAAGACAAACGACAAGATGTACGTCTATCAACACGTGACAAGGGACTGGCAAATCCACGAACCCTTGTCCAGTCTACAAATCCATTGAAACCCTTAGGCTGCCCCCCCAAACCCAGCATATAATAATGTTTGATTAATGAAACGTATTCAAAAAAGGGATATTTAGAGAGAACAATCTTCAACTGGAACGTACTCACCAAATCAATATATCCGGGAGCGCATTCTCGATGCTTAATTTTCTCTAGTCATTTTTAAACAATTCCTCCTCCAGCGAATCCAACCACACAATAACTAAATATCACTTTTCTTCTTCATGTCACTCTGTGCACAAAAGCAATGCACACCGCAAAAACCTAATAATAGATCAGCGCGGTCGAGACACACCGTCAACAAAGGGAGCGAGAGCACACCAGGCACCAAAGCAACAGGGGAAAAACATCAGCACAAATCATTCTAAATAGAACTATCGCGTCCGGGACATAAAACTATTCAAATGCGAGCACCGAAAAACTACACGGCAGCACAAAGATAGCCCGAGCTCTAAAAAAAAGCACGCAGCGGAGCAAAACCACACAACCGTTCTCGGACGCTTCTCAAAGCGGACTGTTGACAATGCAAAGAAATGGCTTATACGTACAAAAGTGGAGGCCATATACGTGCATATATTCGTTTAATTTTAAACGAGTTGATTTAACATCACATACGATTTAATCTGTAATAACAAATTAATTTTTAAAAGTCTTACGATGTAATCCGATTTAATTTGTGATACAGTACGACGGAAAAATGAGCCATCGCATATAAGTCGGAAATTTGCATTCTATACGATTTAACTTAAACATAATGCGAGGTATGCCATTCTTATATGCGATTTTGACTTAACCTGTAGCAATTTATGATACTGTATGTACATTGTTATACGACTTCTGGTTGTCTGGGAAGGGTCAGAGCGCTTCCATTGCAGTAATGGACGCAAAACCTGGTCAGCCCTCACACACTCATCACGAAACGGTTGCTTTCCAAAGTCAACGACGCATCGACCGAAAGAACTGCTGATGAAGAACAATGAGGAGGACCACACAATAGTTGCTGCCGAGAAAACAGACGATCGCGTGGCACACATCGAGAGTGGCCTGCTTTTGTCGACAGCCGAGTGAACACTGCCCGAGTTCAGATTAACGGTGACGAAATCGAGGTGGTCGATGAGTTCGTGTATTTGGGCTCACTGGTGACCGCCGAAAATGATACCAGCAAAGAAATTCAAAGACGCATTATGGCAGGGAATCGTGTGTACTTTGGACTCCGGAGGACGCTCCGGTCAAATAAAATTCGCCGCCGTACGAAGTTGACTGTCTACAAGACGCTGATTAGACCGGTGGTCATCTACAGTCACGAGACTGTAGGTGTTGCATACCATCTACGGTGGAGTGCAGATGGATGACAGAACGTGGAGGAGGCGAATGAACCACGAATTGCACCAGCTGCTGGGAGAACCATCCATCGTCCACATTGCAAAAATTGGGCGACTACGGTGGGCTGGGCACGTTGTAAGAATGCCGCACGACGACCCAGTGAAAATGGTTCTAGAAAGCGACCCAACAGGAACAAGAAGAAGAGGCGCGCAGCGGGCAAGGTGGATCGACCAAGTAGAAGGTGACCTGCGGACCCTTCGCAGACTACGAGGCTGGCAAAGTGTGGCCATGGATCGAGTAGAGTGGAGACGACTTCTTCGGACAGCAGAGGACAACAAGGCCTTAGCCTGATTGGTAAGGTAAGTACCAATGCTACCGGCGCATGGGAGGCAGCACCCACACCTGGACCCTACCTATCGACCCATCAACTCATGAATCGGGGACCAACGGATTTACTTTACTTCCGCATCAGATATGAATGCCTCAGAAAATCCCGACGGCGCCAACTGCGATTAAACCCAGGCTCTTTGGAGTGAGAGGCAGTCACGCTTACCACTACACCACCGGCGATGCCAGACAGAGGTTTGCGACCATTGAGGATCGGCACCCTACATAGAGCTCAAAACGGCAAAAATGATTTGTATGAATCTTTTCACATATGGTGATTGCTAAGGGGACATTTCCCATAAAAAATTGTAAATTTCGCCGCAATAAATAAAAAAAACCCGAATTTATCCACCTATGGTGTGATCAGACCCTTCTTACTTATTCAAGTTTATTTATTTTATTGTCATTATCAGTGACCAAGCCCCCCACCCCCGTGTCATCCAGTGACGCTACGCCACTGCCTACGCCGGGTACCCGGAATATATCCGCGTGTAGTCTATTTGGTGAGGCTACCAATCACCTTATCATCGTATTTTAATGTGATTTAATGGGTTTTAATTCAATTCAAATTCAAGCAACTTCCCCGGGGTACCCGGAACATGTCCAAGTGTGTCCAATGTGGTCTGGAACACTTAACACGACTTGCATTGATCTTATTTTTGAATTCTGTAGTAATTTGTTGTGTCGCATGATGGTTTTGATACGTTTTCCGTTAAATCCAGCGTGAAGACCCATATTCACCGGATCTTATTCCGGCCATATCTCCGGAACCGGTTCACCGATTCCAAAACCGTTCAATAGCGTTCAATGAGACCCCAAGACCTATCATTTGGCGCCGAGTTTGTCCAAATCGGTTGAGCGGTTGCTGAGAAACGTGAGCGCATTCATTTCGTTACATACACACACACATACACACACACACACACACACACACACACACACATACACACACACACACACACACACACACACACACACACACACACACACACACACACACACACAGACATGTTCCGATCTCGTCGAGCTGAGTCGAATGGTATATGACACTCGGCCCTCCGGGCCTCGGATCGATAGTCGGTTTTTCAAGTGATATCTATACCCTTCTTTGTAAGAAGGGTAAAAATGATTTTTTTTATTATCAAAATGAGAAGTTGTAGGTAATAATATCATGGTATATATGAAATACGCTGGGAGATAAACCACTATTAAATTATGTTTATAAGTTAAATAGTTAATTTCGTGGTTGTGGTTGTGGAGAAAGCCTGACGTTTTGCCCTCAAATCTGGGGCCTGTTGGATGCTTAACAGAATGTTGTTTAATTCAAAGTGTTTTTATATTACTTCATACGCGAGGTTTGCGATTTTCAGAGTTGGTTGGAAATGCTTACATGAAGCTTTAGTGTGATAATGTAATAGCTAGAGAACTATTATTATTATTATTATTATTATTATTATTATTATTATTATTATTATTATTATTATTATTATTATTATTATTATTATTATTTTATTTAAGAGGTTTTAAATTTTAACAAATTCATTCGCCTCTACGCTAGAGAATGATCTTTAGAAAAGGGTAGGTGGATAGTTCCGTTAGAGTACAGCGGTATGAAAATTGAATAGAAGTTGAAAATGAGCAAAGGGCCATTAATGTGACAGTATAAAGTCAAACGCACACCTTTTGCCTAACCCGTACGATGTACAGGGAGACTTGAAGTATGTAGAATTTTTTCATTTACTTTTTGAATGTATAAGATTGTATAACATACTCTAAGATTCTATAACCTTCCCCAGAAAACCATTCCCTTGAATCTCATTTCCCATAATGCACTATTCCCCAGAAAACCATTTCACAGAAAAGTATACCATATAGTAGATTGTATAATAATCGGTCATTTAACGTTCCGTGCCATTTTGCGGAAGCAATATTCCTATTTTTGAAAAGTAAAATTCAAAACTTTCAGTAATAATATGTTTATATTGTAATTGAAATCAGATTTAAAGAAGGGTACATCACTAAGTAGAATAGTAATAATAGCAATGAATATTAAATAGATAAAAAAAAATACGATTCTATAACATTCGCCCGAACCCGACCATTTTTTCTCAATAATCTTAAGTCAGTCTAACGTAGAACAATAGTTGTCTATAGCAATGAAAAGTAGTAACATTTAGTGTTTGATTCGAGTATTACAGTCTATTGGTTTCAGTGAGTAAACTGATACCGTGGACCCCCGCTAATCTGAACGACACCTCATTCATATTAACGGGGTTCATTTTTAATTTGAACTTCTAGTAACCCTATCAGCGTGTTTCTGGTTGCCTTATTTGCTGTTTTGTTTTGATTCTGCGTTCCGTTTTGCAATGTTCCATTTCGCTTTACTCCGTTCCATGTGTAAAATGACGTTTAGGCAATTTTTAGTTTGCACGCCGTGCAGATAAGCGGGGTTCAAATTAAAAAGTGTTCAGATTAAAACCGGTCATATTACCGGGGGTTCACGGGTCGTTAGTTTATATAGTCACCTTTATTAAGGAGACTTTCAGCCGAACGCTGGAATGCTACCAACGCCAGGGAGGCAGCTCCCACACCTGGACCTAACCTATCGACCCATAAACTCATGGACCGGGGACCAACGCCTTTACTCTCTCATCAAAGATTTGATTGCTCAGAAAACGAAAGTTTAAAATTATGCCACTTAGTCAATGACTGGATTAGTGACGTTATTCTATATAGTATTGCAAGTATCATTAAAAAGTGCTGCCGTCAGAAGAATTAATTTCAAATATTTAACGACTCAAGGTTGTAAATAGCTTTCCCCATAAACCGCAACCTCTTGACTAAGATTAAAAAAGTCTTGTCTGACATGCACAGTAGACGTACTGTTCTGCAACGTTAAGCTCGTATAAATAATTTAAAATAGTTCATACGAAGCTTAAGTTTTATCTATTCCGATTGAATGGGATTGTTGAACTATTTCCCCATTTGTGGAATGACTTTCAAGTTGGCGGGCATTAATTAGGGCGTCAAGTGGCGCACGACTGGAGCACTTCCAATGATTATAAGTTGCACGCGCTTTCCTCAGACAGTATCATTCGTAGGTTTGAGTTGCAGGAATAAGCATTCAGATTTCAGATTTGTAACAAGTGTTCAAAAATGGGTCCCAAACGTTTAGTGATAGTTTGCTCTGTATTACTGTGGACAGTAATTGAAGCCAACGGAGCCTCGCTAGATAGACAAAACACCAGGTCAACCAAAATCGTTGGCGGAGAAGAGGCAAAGGAAGGATCTACACCGTACCAAATTTCGCTGCAGTCGTCGTTTGGACACAACTGTGGTGGAGCAATCATTGCTGAGCGTTGGGTTCTAACTGCCGCACATTGCATTGTTGGGTAAGTTTCAACGGATTTGACTGTGAAATGCTATGCGTCTGCATACATATTATCGTGAAAGATGGGGACGCATGGTGTGGCATTTAATACAACCCTACAATTTATTGCTCTACTTTCACCATCAGTCGTAAGCCATCGGAGGTAAAAATACTTGTGGGTACAAATGACCTCAAGAATGGTGGTGAAGTACTTGATGTTGACTTCCTGGTTCATCATAGTCGGTAGGTTGCGAACAATTGTCGCCATCCAGCTGGTTCACGATTACCATACAATGAACTATTTTCCAGTTACAATACACCTTCCTATCACAACGACATCGCCCTAGTTCGGCTAGCATCCAAGTTGAAGTTCAGCGATCGTGTCAAGCCAATTGAGTACTCGGAAAAATATGTTCCGGACAATGCTACCATCACCCTGACTGGTTGGGGACGGCTTTCAGCTGGTGGAACGGCTCCCAACAAGCTGCAAACCATCAATCTGCTCAACGTGGATCACGATCGCTGCAAAGAACTGCATGGTGGTGACGAAAGTGTTGACATTGGACATCTGTGCACTTTCACCAAGGCTGGAGAGGGTGCTTGCAACGTAAGATCAGTGCAATAGCTCCATCAATTCGTTTTTTCATCGATTGTTTTTGTATAGGGTGACTCGGGTGGCCCGCTGACATGGGAAGGAAAGCTAGTGGCGCTGGTAAACTGGGGTATTCCTTGTGGACGAGGTTATCCTGATGCTCATGCCAGAATTTCCTACTACCATGATTGGATTCGAACAAATGTGGCGAGTAATAGTAACTGAGTTTGAAGTGTGATCTGTGATAAGGATAAGAAACAATGTTTGAACAATAAATACTACCGGAAGAGATCAAAAGTTTGTGTTTAAAATTTACCAAAACTGTCTTTTTATATTATGGATGGCCTCCTATTATAAGGTACACAGGGGCAAGTTGAAACGGGTTTTTCAAAGTTAAACTTTGAGGCTCTCTGGAAAAATCATAAAGTAACATAAGCCGGATGTTTTTGAACCAAAAGTTTCGTTGAATCTATCGTAAAAAATTTATGTGTTGTTTCATCTTGCCCTATACAGTAAAGTAAGCTGAAACACACATATTACATCAGTTTTACGATGAAAATTATCATCTACGTACAAAATAACCGTTCATGGACTTTATCAAACCCTGATGGGAATATACATTGGTGGCCATTAAATTAGCACAATAGTCCGATTTTCATACAAACTAGCCAACCTTGGCATGTTGCAGCTATGTTTTGTTATGATCAATTGAGCTGAAATTTCGTAAATAACTTTGTTATGCACGCCGCCGTTTATTGGCAATAAAGTTGAAAATTTTAAAACTATAACACTTCGCAAATTTCGAATTATAAATGTGCTAATTAGTTGGCCATTTTCATCCCATTTGATATTACGTACACGCAAATTTCAGCATATTTGTAGAACTGTGTCCAAATTTCAGCTCAATTGAGCATAACAAAACATAGTTGCAACCAGTGTTCTTAAAAACTTAAAAACTCAAATCTCATGCATGAGTTTTGCCTTGCAAAATTCAACGTCGCAAAAATCACCGATGAGTTTTCAGGTTCAAAAATTCATTGCTTTATATTTTGGCGTTATTCGTTGATAGAGGAAATGGCTCTAACGATCTAAGATCTAAGGCCTATGGATCTAAGATTGGGCCCATCGCTAAAAATCTGTTATTTATCAATTTTATCTAGATGAACGCGTCATTGGGACGATACTAATGGATATTTTTGGTCGCTATTGAAAATTTAGTCGATTACTGAATTTATGTATGGGTCCAAATTAGGGACATTCAGGCCGACATTACATCAATTTCCCCTATTACTATTGTTTGTGGATCAGGGGTTCGGAAAACTAATACAACATGCATAGGCATAATATAAATTGACGTTTGAGTGGTTTTTATGAGCGTTGATTTTTCGGCGTTGCAAGTGTGAGTGAGTGAATATGCATGAGAATCTCAAGCGTGAATTTTGTTTGCCACAGTCGCACGCGAGTTTATTCTCGCAGGGAGGCTCAATGAAGGAGATTTGAGAATGATTTTCCGAACACTGGTTGCAACGTACCAACGTTGACTAGTTTGTATGAAAATCGGCCTATTGTGCTAATTTAAAGGCCACCACTGTAGGTATACCACGATGAACGCGGTGAGAATTTCAGTCCACGTAGAAATATAACCATGAAATGATAATGAAATTACCATACTATTGTTGACAGTTAACCCAATTATAAATAAATTTAATTGGTCAAATGATCATATAATTTCCACAATTGGTTTACCACATACTATCTGTGGGTTTACAATACATTTATTTATATTTTGCTCCAATATCACGTGTGATATTGAGACTATATGAGAGCAGAAAATTGTCAATTTTCTAATGATTATGCCATCACTGCTCTAAACAATATTTTTTTGTTGCAGAACAGCTTATACAGGCCAATATAACTGTATGAAGTTAAAAACAATCTTAATGTGCTTTTTTAACAGCTAAAACTGATGAATTTAGTTTGATGGTGAAAAATAGATTTTATATACTTAATATAATTCGACCTTCCTTTTCTATGGTAAAACTCGAGGTAAAACTATTAGTTTTAATTTTTTTTAAACGCACCCATCGCTGTTTCATGGCTATCCTTCAACATATTGAAGTTTTCTTGTACTGAAAATGGGATATCTATCATTTCAACTTGTACTTATTTTGATTTGCATCATAGGGTGTAGAAATGTGGGGCAAGTTGAAATGGTTGAAATGTTGAAAATTTTTTGTAACTTCATTTTTATATCATCACTCCAACTCGCCTCCATATGCTTCCCTAGTGCATGGAAATGGGTAAAATACAGAAAATTTAACTTTTTTTAGAAGATTGAAGCAATGCTTAGATTATGTGTGTTGAAAATTGCACGCTAAGCTGTCTGTAACTACCTGATTTGACAGTCATAGCCATAGGATGCGTTTAATTTTATACTATACCGTAAGACGGGGTGACAGTAGGCCTAGGGAGTGACATTGGGCCAAAATTTAAAAATGTTTATTGATGCAAATATCTTGAATATACAGAAAATGATGAATAGAATATGTTTCTTGAACTCCTGGAGTAAAGTGTTATTTAAATAGTACTGAAAAGTTAAGTGTCATGAATATTAGCAAAAACACGTTTTTAAAAATGTCCACAGGCAAACAAAAGTTTAAACACACATTTTAATGTGGATATTAGAGGGTTACACGTGATCTTTAGCCATACATATGACGTACATTATGATCATAAACAGATGTACTACTAATAGCTACGTTACATTTACATATTTTATGATAATTCAACCAAATTTATGTTTTGACTCTTTTCACCCTGCATCAAGTTTTACGTTAATATATTTTTTATTTAATTTTAATCAACCATTTCCATGATAGCGTAATTATATCATTGATGAATATATCCACATGCTAAACATTGTTTCCCTTGCTATAATATGAATGTTGTAAGGTAGCGAACGAAAATTTTATTATTTGTATGGCCCAATGCACAGTGGTCCAGAATACAGATTTAGGTGGAATGATATGTTTTGAGCCTGAAATTGAAACTTTAGACTAAAAGTCTCTTCTACAAAGTTGTTTCTTATAGTTAGACCCTCATTTTTATGACAATGAATCCTAGGGTGGTTCTTATTATCATTAAAATAAAAAATCTAACTTTTTTGTTTGAATAAATTAAGGTATACATTCGTCGACAAAGTTATAGCTGAGCTAATTTCAAGCCACTTTGTTGGAAGCAACTTTTTTGTATCTCTTGAATTGGCCGATTTAGAGCTATTTTCTTGAATTGAGTTAGGGTGGCGCTAAAAAAAATAGTTATTTTGCTCTAGTTTTCTTATTTTAAATTTCTCAGCAAAGGTGCCTTCAAATGACTTTTAAATCTTTAGTGCTGCACTTCTCTTGTTCTGAAAGGCCATTTGGTATGCCGACAATGGGTCTACTTGTTCTTGCAGCCTTTGAAGCAATAGTTTAGCACATATTTTATATGGGCTATTGCATAAAGTTATGCATGGATAATCCTCCATGCTTTGAGGATGTACAATTTTTGGGATTGGTACTTGTATTGTGTCGATCCATGCCTTTGGAACTACGTTTGTACGGAATACCTCTTTCATTATTTCCACTATGCTATCAATTAAGCTTTCCGATCCATATTTTGTCAACTCGTTATTAAGGTTGTCCAGTCCTGGTGCGCTATTGTTCCTAGTTGTCCATATAATATTTTGAATTTCCTCTCTCGTCGGCGCCGGTCCTGCCTCTCGTCCATCATCTTCTTCGAGTGGATTCAGCGATGTTCCTTCTTTGTCAATTGATATGTCTTTAATTTTTCGTTCCCAATGTTGGATTGGTATATATTTTCGCGACTTGCTTTTCTTATTGCGCTTGTGGTGTTTTATAAACCTGAACATTTTTGTTATTTGGGCTAACTCGTTTTCTTTTTCAACTGCTCCAAGAAATTTATTTACTTTTTCGGTGAAATGCATATCATATGCCTTCTTCTTTTCAACTCTTGCCGCCGCTGCTTCCCTTCTTAAATCTGGATTGTTTTTGTCCGCCATTCTCCTTTGCGTTGCCAGGAAGTATTTTTTTGATGCTTCCCTTCTTCTTGGAGTCGGTGGGGATCCCATGGTTAAGCACTGTCTCTGCACGGCTTGTTATTGCTGATTGGATCCTAGTCCATTTTTCATCCACGCTGACATTATCACTTATCGTTGTCGCAAACAGATTTCGGTCAACTTTATCCTGGTATTTTTTTTCCGTTCCTCTTCATTTTTCAGCATCTCCAGGTCGTATCTTGCCTTTTTAGCCTGCGGGATGGTCGTACGAGAGCAATGGCTAGCAGCACGTTCTCTTGTTTCTCTTTTCAACATACATTCTATCATTTTACGGTCGCTTTTTAGGTGGGGTAGAAAATATGCTCTAGTGCTTGGAATCTTGACAAAATCCATTTTTGACATCAGGATGTGATCCAATTGCGATGTCGACTTTCCATTGCTCCATGTTGTAACAACCGATAGTGATTTGCTAAATGTGAGATAATCTTTCAGGTTTAGACCATGCATGAGCTCTTTAAGACCTAATCCGTTCGGGTTACAGAACTGGTGATGAAGGCTGTTTCCCATTATTTAATGGTCTGGTATTTTGATAATATACCTTGATATTTTGGCAAATTCCCTGCTTTCCACCTGTGTTTCCGACCTTATGCTGATATTATTAAGATCTTTTCTCCAAATATATCGCATAAATATGAATATGCGTTTTAGCTTATTTTTCTAAATTTGTCGCTTTTATAAATACTTTTTGATACAACAATCACCGTACCACCTCCTATCCGCGTCCTGACTTCTTCGCTGTTGTTCACATTGAACCAGAAGTAATTTTGTGATTCCAGTGTACATTGGGCCATTCTTATTTCTTGAAGTGCTACTACTTCTTCTTTCCTTTATTTAACGTCGGTCTCTGTTCCGCAATCTAGTGCCAATCACCGACGCACATCGATTGCCATCCATTGACGGCAATCGAATGTGCAGGAAGGCAGCTTCCACACCTGCGCCGGGACCAACGGCCTTACTTCCCTTCCGAAGGAAGACGTGACCAGAGATTTTTATGCCTCAGAAAAATCCCACCGACCTCAACTGGGATTGAACCCAGACTCATTGGGGTGAGAAAGCAGTCACGCTTACCACTACACCACCGGCGCCGGCGAAGTGCTACTACCCTACTACCATGTAACCACTCAGATGAAAGTATAAGTCCATTTCGTTGCGTTTACTCTCCTC